CAGCCTCGCTCGCCTTGTACGAGATGCCAAGCCCAATCTCGTCGTTTGCTCCCTCCATCGCTGCTGTTGTGTGGTTTGTTGGTGTGGGTGATTTGATGCGATGCGATGTCTTCTGTGGTGATGTCTTCTGTGATGTGTGCTGATGTGGCTGTGATGCCTGCTTCCTCTGCTCAATCAAGTCCACGCACCACCAGTTCGTGCCACCCGCTCACGCTCGCGTGCCTCGGCGACCACAGCAGCTGCAACAGACACAAGTGTCAAAACAATGTTTGGAGTGGCGCACCTGTGAGTGAGGTTGCTGTTAATGAAGTTGCATGGCATGCATGCACACGCAAGCAGAAAAGGGGCATGAACAAAACCTTCGCCAATCATAATTTGTGTCATGTCACTCACTTAAGTCCCGCTCGTGGCTGCTTGACATGCAGATGTGTTTCGCTTGCTTGCCTGGCCTGTTACTGATTCCTTCCATCACCGTTGCGTTTTGCCTTCGTGCCCATGTCAAGCGCACTCTACATCCGCACTTATGTTAGTCATCCTTCGCTGCTTCGCTGCTTCGAAGTGGTAAGAGTGTCCCGTACTTGCCCAAACAACTGAAGTCAGTCGAGTAGAACAAACCTGAATTCAGTGTCAGACACACAAACACAAACAAACAACAACACTCGCTCGCTTTGCTTGCTTGCTTGAAGGCCAGTGCTCACAACAACCACCACAACAACAACCACCACCACCAACAATGGTGTCTTGGTTGGCAATGCTGGCGGTACTGGCAATGCTGGCGGTAGCCGCGTGTCCTGTTGTTGGTGGTGTGAGCAATCGCCTCCGTGACCCCACTCACGGGGCCACCGCCCGTGCTGAGATTCGCGCTCGCGTCGTTGGAGAGCTGCATCTTGAGTATGAGCCGTGGGTCATGTCGAGCAAGACTGCATCGTGGTTGCGCGATGACCCAGACATTGCCACCGTGTACCGACGCTATGTGCTGTCGCTCCTCATCCCTTCGGACAAGATTGCCTCTGCCGTTCACGGCTACAACACCTTCATGCAGCATTTTGTGCCTTCAAACTGCACCTGGTCTGACATTGACTACGCTTCCAAAGCAAGGGCAGAGTAAGTGCGTTGTGCGTGCGTGTGTGTGTTGTGTTTGAGATTCCCTGGCTCGAGTGCACATGACTCCTTTGCTGTAGACTGTCGGCTGTTGGTGTGTACGGCTTCTTGGGGGATGGGTTTTTATCTCGCGTCTCTTCGTCGTCTGTGCACTTGCTATTGCTGTTCTGTGTCACGTGTTGCGATTGGTAGTACGACCAACTTTCCCCAGCATCCCCCAGCCTCGACTGTGCCTCGCCACAAGCTCATCAACTCCTCACATCACCCATTGTCCCTGCGCCCTCAATATGTCTCCACAACGCATCACAACAACACTCCACACAACACCACAACACCACAACACCACGCCACACCACAACCACACCACCACCACACCACAAACGCAACACCACACCACTCCACACAACACCACAACACCACAACACCACGCCACACCACAACCACACCACAACCACACCACCACCACACCACAAACGCAACACCACACTACAACCACACCACACTACAACCACACCACACCACAACACACCGCAACACCACACCACACCACACCACAACGCAACACACCACACACCATTTGCAGCTGGCCTGCAGGCGACCACATGTCGAGGGTGGAGGACATGGCGCAGCTGCTGATGACGCCAGCATCTCCGCTGTACAGGAACAAGACACTCACCAACCAGACCACGTGCGCCCTGCACGCGTGGACAACACGCGACATGCAGAACCCAAACTGGTGGTGGAACGACATTGGCATCCCACAGCTCATGGGCCACACGCTGCTGCTACTCACCCCCGACACTGTGCCGCGCTCCAGCGAGATTGCGCAGGTGGCGCAGCGCATCATGGACCGGGCCAGGTGGTGGACAATGACCGGCGCCAACCGCATCTGGGAGCTCAACATCAAGATCATGCAGGGCCTCTTCTTCAACAATGCCAGCCTCGTCGCCACGGGCTTCTCCAACGTGTACGCGGCCGTCGCGTTTGTGCACCAGCCGCTGGAAGGCATCCAAGTGGACGGCAGCTTCCACCAGCACGGGCCGGAGCTGCTGGCGGGGTCATATGGGGCGGACTTCACCGCCACCATCCTCGGCCTGCTGCAGTTCTCCAGCGGTACGCGCTTCTACATGGACGCGGCCCACATGGCCGTGTATGCGCGCCTGGTGCTTGACGGGCAGCAGTGGATGGTGGCCGGCCACCGGCAGCAGGACTGGTCCGTTATTGGCCGCGAGATTACGCGCCCAAGCGGAGTCCACACGTGGACCTTCAGCCCAACGCAGTTGCGCAACGTCACGGCCGGCAACCGCACGCAGGAGTTCCACGCCTTTGCAGACTGGCTGGACGGAGTGTCTGGCGCCAAGCCCGTGACGGGGGCGCGGTACTACTACGACAGCGACTATGGCGTGATGCACACGCCCACGCACGTGGCGTCCGTGCGCATGTACTCGAAGCGGACCGTGAACGCGCGCTGCGTGAACGACGAGGGCACGCAGTCCGAGCACACCGCGGATGGGGTGGTGAACCTGTACTACGATGGTCACGAGTACGACGGCATCTACCCTGTCTGGGACTGGAAGCAGCTGCCTGGCACCACCATCCCGCAGTATCCACAGACGCCATCATGTGCCACCACAACACGCCTGTCGCCGCACGGGTTTGTGGGCGGGGTTGTCGCCGGCGATGGCTCGTTGCTTACAGGCATGCAGCTGTCGACGCACGGGTTGGATGTGCTGCGCGTATTTGTTGTCCGCCCAGAGGCCATCATCACCGTCGACGCCTTTGCCAACTTCACAAGCAGCGCCGACCCCTCGTTGCCGCTTTCACAGCGGTCACCCTCCTTGACGCAACAGTCACCTCCTTCCCCCTCTTCATCGCCCTCCACTCCATCTCCACACACCACCACCGCCACCACCACCCTGTCATCGGCGTCTGTGCCTGTTCTGACCACGGCCGCCAACCGACTGCTGAGTGGAAACGTGACTGTCAAGCTGGCAAACGAGACAGCACCACGCGTGCTTGCTCGCGGCGAGCACAACTTCACGGCGGGTCTGGTGCAGTGGGTGCACCACGCCAACACCGGGTACACGTGTGTCGACGGCGGCGGTGGTGGTGATGCTGGAAGCAAGGGATGTGCCGCTGCTGTGCGTGTTGTCAACACACAGCAGAGCGGAGACTGGTCGCTGATTGGCGTGGCATCAGGCAAGGTGCAGCGCGACGTGTTTGCCCTCATGTACAACCACGGCACGTCCCTGTCCTCGGCCTCCTTCGCCCACGCCGTCCTGCCTTCTGTGGCGTCACCCACGGATATGGAGCACGCCGTGGCCGCCATCAGGGCCGCCACCACCATCGCCACCGCCCGGGGTGCGGCTGTCTCTGTCCTCGTTGCACCGACAAGCGCCACCTCTTCACAGCAGGACGCCGCAAATCGGCATACAGGAGCGGGGTACATGGCGTACCACGTGGTGGCATCGGGTGGTGACACCGCTTTCCCATTGCACGCCGTCACGGCTGCCGACGCACCCGCCTTCATTGCCGCCCAAGCCGCCTCCGCAACAACTGGAGCAACAACAACAACAGCCGCAAGAACAGCATGGCGTGGTGGTGCGGTGACAACAAAGCTGACGAGCGTGTGTGTCAGCAGCCCTGTGCACAGCGGGCCAATCCACGTCAAGCTTGCTGCCAACACCACGTGCAATGCAGCCACCCTCACCCTCACCCTTCCCGATGGCGATCACAAGGGACAGTCTGTCCACCACACGTGCTGATTGGTGCTGCTTGCACGCCCAGTGTGTGCAATGCGCTGTGCTCTTGTGCCTCCCACATAGGTGCACGCGTTTTGCTGTTACATGACATTCTTCCCACGCGTTACGTGACGTGATGTGGCATTACATTACACCACACACACCATTCCCTGCCCCCCAGTATCTCATGCATGTGTGCTCCTTTGTTTGCTTTATTTCAACCGAATGGAACGTGCACCACACATGTGCGGGAAGCAATGCTTTGCATCACACACGCCACACGCGCGCAGAGCAGGCAAACACGCGGTCGAAACCACAAACTTGGAGAGAGACAGGCGACAGGCAAAAGAGGTGCCGCTCAACAAACTGAAGAACCACACCGCAAGCATGACGATGACGATGGTTATGGAGGTGGTTGTGCGGCGGCTTGGCAACGGTCCGCTTAGCGGCCCTCGACGCGCAGGCGGTCGAGTGTGCTGTAGCCAATGGACTGCAGCATGTCGAACGTGTCCTGGTCCACGGGGATGGTGTCGTCGGCGTGGATGGCAGAGACCTCGGGCACGTAATTGTCGCGGCGCTCGCGCTCCTCCTCCTGCAGCTTGATGGAGATGCCGCGCACGGGGCCCTTCTGCACTCGTTGCAAACATGTGCCGAGGTGGTGGTGGTGGGGGGGGGGGGCGGAGGACAGCCAATGGCAGGTTGCAGGTGGCGGTGAGAAGACGAACATGCGTGTATGTGTAAGTTACAGATTCGAGGGGAAGGGAACAAGCCCACGTGAGTGGGAAACGATAGGGTGTGCGTGGAGGCGGGGACATACAGGCATGGCGAGACTGCAAAGGGTTGGATTAACCATCTTTTGCAACCATCACGTGTGAACTATCAAATGCACAACGACACAGCGGAGACACGGCAAAACAGGCAAGAACGAACCTGGATGCGCTTCATCATGTGGGTGATGAAACTGGTGTCACATCAAGCAAAACAGCAGTGCAAGTAAAAACAAAAGCAATGGTGAGTGAGACGATGCGTTGAGTGACGCAGTATTCAGTCGTGGAAGAGAGCGGTAAATCAGCGAGCACGCATGCATGGACCTAATAATGCAAGCCAGCAAGAAAGCAAGCCGACAGCAAAGCGTGGGCAAACTCTTCTTCAACAACACGATATCGCGCACGCGCTCTCACCCAGCAATCTGGTTCCTGAGGCGCTTGGAGGGAACAATGGCAAACTCCTCAACGAGCTGTGGTTGTTTGTGCACGCAAAGGACGGGCGCATGAAGACGTGTGAGCAGCAAGCACAAGCAGTAAGAAGAGCGAAGAGCCGCAAATGCCAAAACAGATGGATAGCAACACCACGTGCACATGCACAAGGGTAGATGCACACACCCAGCGCACAAGAGTCGATTTAACACACACACATGCACGCACAACACATGCACGCACAACACACACACACATGCACGCACAACACAACGCACCGCACAACTCACACACAACACAAAAACAGCACAAAACGGCAGGGCTTACGCGCTTGTTGGTCTCAAAGTCGTTGGTGAGGCGAGTGTAGTACTTCTCAATCATGACCTTGGCGGCCTTCTTCACAGTCTTTGTGCGCACGCGACCCATGGCTGGCTGTGTTGCTTGTTCGTCGTCTCAAACAAGAGAGAGAGGGGAAGGGAGAGGCTGTAAGCGCAGGTGGAGGGGCGAAAAGAGAAAAAGGCACACACGCGAGGGCCATGTGGACAATTAGCGAAAGATGCCAACCACTTTTCGAACTCACGATTGCTGCTGACAAAGAGCCAGACTGAAGGAAGGAGATGTGGCGAGTGTTGGTGGTGGCTGTGCTGTGCGCGGCGCTGGCTGCTGATGTGGCTCTTGCTGGCCCTGTCAAGGTGCGTGGGCGCAGCCAGAGAGAGGAGAAAGGGGGAGGGGAAGGGTGTGAAGGAGAAGGAGGAGAGCCTGTGAGTGTGTGTGTGTGAGTGTGTGTGTGAGAGTGTGCGAATATGTTTGTTCAAGGACTGCTGTGTTCGGAGGGCATGATGGTCGAACATGCAAGGATCTCACGACGACATTGGTCCACTTCATCCACAGGTGCTAGAGCCAGAATCGCTGCAAGCAACGATCCGCAATGGCAAGAACTGGATGGTGAAATACTACGGTATGTGATGCAGGAGTAGTGTTGATGTAAGGTTGCTTTGTTTGCATTCTGCCATCAATCTCGCAGTGTGCCTTTGTTCATGCTGCGATCCCTTGTGTGTCTGGTGCGTGTCGACAGCGCCATGGTGTGGCCACTGCAAGCGTATGGCACCCGTGTGGAAGGAGTTTGCAGAAAAGATGCACAAGAGCGAAGGATCCGTGAACGTGGCCAAGTTTGACTGCACAAACGACAGAGGTGCGTGCTTTGTGTGTGTGTGTCTGTGTGTGTGTGGGGGGGGGGATCTGTCTGTCTGTCTGTCTGTCTGTCCGTCTGTGTGTGTGTGTGTCTGTGTGTGTGTGCGTGTCTGTGTGTGTGCGTGTCTGTATGTACACGGTTTGTGTGCGCATGTACACGGTTTGTGGGCCCTATGCTTAAATGCATGAGCTCTTGTTTGCATGTATGTCGTGTCCTTGACATGCAATCGCGATCCTTGTTCGGCTTGTCCACCACCGTCATGCTGCAGATGCGTGTTCACACGAGGGTGTCCGCGGCTATCCAACTGTGCGCATCTACCGTGCTGACGGCCGCAACTACACCTACTCGGGGCCCCGCACTGTGGTTAGTGACACTGCGTGGTAAACAGAATATGTTTGCTCGATTCCGTGGCGCGTGGACACACACACACACACACACACACACACACACACACACACACACACACACACACACACACACACACACACACACACATCATGTCGCATTTGTCATGTCGCATGAAAGAGAGTATGCTCCATTGCCCCCGCCCCCACTTGCCCTCCCCTCACGACACCCTCCCCTCTGCCTTTCGACGGCGCACGTGCGCGCAGGAGGCGTTTGCGTCGTACAGCGAGTTTATGACACGGGACCTTGTCACGCGCCTCAAGACGAAGAAGGAGGTGGAGGAGGTGGTGGCCATGCCAGGCATCTTCTTCGTTCGCGTGCTCCCGCGCGCCACAAACAAGGCTGCCGACAACGCATACACAGCAGGTACCGCAGTCCACGCGCTGGTGCGCTGATGGGATGGTGAGATGGTGAGATGGTGAGATGGTGGGATGGTGGGATGGTGGGATGGTGGGCTGGGAATTATTCATCGTATATCGTCGATTGTACATCAGTACTCAATACGACGACTGCCATCTCATCGCATCTGCTACCACCACTCCCCACTCCCCACACACCGCTCACCCCTCACCGCCCGCCGCCCACCGCCCTGCACCGTGCAGCTGCTGGCGACCTGCTTGCGCAGGTGATGTGCTACGACCTCGACGCGTCCCTGCGTGAGGGCACCCCCCTCTCCACCGTCAGGCCAGGAGCGGTCGTGCGCATGTCCGCCGGCACTCCGCTCGTGTACGACGGCAACGCCACAGACCACGCACAGCTCGTCAGGGTACGCGCTGTGCGATGACGTGCTGTGTTGTGTGTGTATGTGTCTGTCTGTCTGTCTGTCTGTCTGTGTGTCTGTCATTCTCTGTCTGTCTGTCTGTCAATTTTGTCATTCTGTGTGTCTGTCTGTGACTCTCTGTGCACTTGCGTGTGCCCTTCTTTAACTCCATCTCACGCCGTCTCGTCGCTGCACACGGTGCGCATTCCTTGCCACCACCACCACCACCATCAGTGGATGCAAGACCACGAGTGGGGCTCGTGCTTTGAGCTGACGCGCGAGGTGAGATAGTGTCGCTGTGCCAAACGCATGTGGCTTGCTTGCTCATTCCCAAGCATGACAGCTGGTCGACACTACTGACACACTGGATGCACACACTCACACACACACACACACACACACACGCACGCACGCACGCACACACACACACACACACACACACACACACACGCACGCACACACACACACACACACACACACACACATCACGTGTCACGGCTCATACCCCATCATTGCACGTCATCCCGCTCCGCCCCCCTCTTCCCGCTGATCAGACGGGAAACCGGTATGCGGTGCTTCCGTCGCCCAAACCGCTCGCTGTCCTCGTCCTTGACGGCCGCATGCAGACAGATGACCTCGTCAACTCATACAAGAAGGTGGCGCTTGCTTTGGGTTGTTGCTTGTTTGTTTGTTTGTTTGTTTGTTTGTTTGTTTGTTTGTGTGTTTGTTTGCTTGTTTTTGGGTTTGGTTTGTGCCTCGTCGCTCTGTGAACATACACGACGCATCACTCCAACAGCTGTTGTGCTCACGACCTTTGTCCTGCCACCACCACCGCCACCATCACCACTACTCCACTGCTGCCAGGTTGCCGAGGCTGCCGGTACAGACGGCGTGTACCAGTTTGCATGGGCCGTGTATCAGAAGGTGCGCAATGGGCTGTCAGATTTGCATACTTGTGATTCGCGCTTACCCTTTGTTTGCCTCGTGCTTGCTCCCGGCTTCACAATCATCGCCCCATCCTCATGTAATGTAACATCACATCCGCATCATTCAACACCCCATCTCTACATCCTCGCACCACCATTCAATACCCCATCTTACCACGACGATCACCACCTGCAGCTGCCGGCGCTGACTGCGGACGTGTGGGGACTGGAGGAGGGCGACTTGCCGGCGTTGGTCGTGCACAACGCGTCGGCCTCAACCTTCTACCGCGCACCCGAGCCACCGCTGCTCCCGCCGGCATCCCCAGATGCACCTTACACCATCAACGCAACTGCAGTCACCACCTTCCTCTCAAGCGTCAAGGATGGCAAGGTGTGTGTGTGTGTGTGTGTGTGTGTGTGTGTGTGTGTGCACCCTTTTGTGTCTCTTTCTGTTGTGTACTTTCCGTAAACCCTTATTTTATTTATGTTGCTTCATGCACACCGCGACGATGCACGCTTTTTAGGTTCCGGCCACAAACCCACACTCCCTCTTCAACTCCATCGTTCGGTGCGTGCATACAAGTTTGCGTGTGCCTGCCAAGTGCGTGTCGTGTGCTTGATGAGTGCACCCCTCCCTCTGATCAACCAGCCCACCATACCAACTACCAACCATCCCCCCTCCCCAAATAACACCCTCCCCCCC